AAGAGAAGATCCAGAGGTAAGCCACCAGACTAGTCCCAGAACTGAGAGGTATCAGCTACGAGGAAAGACTTAGGGACCTAAACCTCACGTCCCTGGAAGACAGAAAAGTAAGAGGGGATATGATATCCACCTGCAAAATTCTCGGGGAAATTGACAGGGTGAACGAAGACAAACTATTTAGCACGGGTGGAACACGAACAAGGGGACACAGGTGAAAACTTAGTACCCAAATGAGCCACAGAGACATTAGAAGAAATTTTTTCAGTGTCAGAGTAGTTAACAAATGGAATGCATTAAGTAGTGATGTGGTGGAGGCTGACTCCATACACAGTTTCAAATGTAGATATGATAGAGCCCAGTAGGCTCAGGAACCTGTACACCAGTTGATTGACAGTTAAGAGGCGGGACCAAAGAGCCAAAGCTCAACCCCCGCAAGCAAAACTAGGCGAGTACGGAAGCTTCAAGTGGTAGCCAACATTTCCCGTGATGATGATAGAGAGTGAAGATAAGCTGGCTTTCTTGAATGTAATTGTCTGGTAAAGCAATGGTGGCTTTCACATTCAAGTTTATATTAAGGCTGTTCCTCGACACTAGAAGTGAGTTCCCTGACTGGTTCACGCGAAGTGTTGAGGCCTACGTCAACAGTGCCTCTCTCACGCTGCTAAAGTTGGCAGCAGGTTGACGAGGATCTCAGTAGTGAGGCAGGCCGTCAGGCTGTCATACATCAGGCTGCGAGCAGCCGCGTCCAACAACCTGGTTGATCAGTCCAGCAACCAGGAGGCCTGGTCGACGACCGGGCCGCGGGGACGCTAAGCCTCGGAGCACCTCAAGGTAGGCCCTCGTGATCAGCCGGTATACTAAGGGATATGCGGAGAGGCCAATACAAAGATGAAATGCCATGCTACCACTGATGAAGATTTCAGCGCTACAGAACCTGACCAACCTATAAAGCTGTATTGCACTAACTACTTTTCAACGGCTTAAAGTAAATTATTTGCTGGACAGGGTACTAAATGCCGAAATTAAAGTGATGTATAGTCGTAATGGCTTGGTGTTTTCCCCTAATAATTGCCGTGTCTCCTTCCTTGTTTGTTTTTCTTTCTCCCCGTCTCATTCCACTGTTTTGTTTGCAGTTCCCTTCCCCTTCACTGATGTATTCGACAGTTACAAGCCGGGTAGACGAGGTAATTAACACGCACGTTTAAATGGCATGTGCAAGGCAATTACAGGCTAGCTCTATCATTTTGAGGGGGGGGGGGGCGTGTGACTGATGACAGTTGTCACGCTACTGGAGTAGTTATGGTCTTAAGTTAAACAGTGGCTGGCGTGACAGTCACGCAGGTAGGTCTAGAAAATCAGTCTCATGTGTCAAGTGCGCGTCGCTTTTGTTCACGCTGTTAGTCTGTCTGTCTCATGTAGTCGCGAAGCCGGTCGGCCGAGCGGACAGCACACTTGTGATCCTGTGGTCCCGGGGGTCGATCCCGGGCGCCGGCGAGAAACAATGGACAGAGTTTCTTTCACCCTGTGCCCCTTTACCTAGCAGTAAAATAGGTACCTGGGTGTTAGTCAGCTGTCACGGGCTGCTTCCTGGGGGTGGAGGCCTGGTCGAGGACCGGGCCGCGGGGACACTAAAAAAAAGCCCCGAAATCATCTCAAGATAACCTCAAGATAGTCGTGTTTGTCAAGAATTCACCGCTGGGCTCAAACGATAACGCATTATTTCTATTTTAAATACATCATCGTACAGCCTACGTTTGCTATAACGGGAATGTTTGCGTCAAGTGTGCATCAACGTCTACGTCTACGTCGTTGATGGTTTCACGTTTATATCACGCCCACGGCAACATTTGTTTAGGTGAGGTGAATGGAGGGAGAGCGTGTGTACGTCACTCCACCGTAGACGTGTTTACATTAGGAGCGGAAGTTGTACATTATACGGTAAGTGTAGCTGCGGTAGTGCCAAGGTGAACCCGGCCTTGTGGCCCTCGGGAGGAAGGTTGGTTGTGCAGGGACTGTATCACGTCCCTTACCAGGCATGATGTGTACTGGTCAATGTGTAGGCTCCTGCTCCTGGTAGAACCAGTAGGGTGCAAAATATAGGATATATAGTGACCTATATATGTAGGATATATAGTGACCTATATATGTAGGATATATAGTGACCTATGTATGTAGGATATATAGCGACCTATATATGTAGGATATATAGTGACCTATATATGTAGGATATATAGTGACCTATATATGTAGGATATATAGTGACCTATGTATGTAGGATATATAGCGACCTATATATGTAGGATATATAGTGACCTATATATGTAGGATATATAGTGACCTATATATGTAGGATATATAGTGACCTATATATGTAGGATATATAGTGACCTATATATGTAGGATGTATAGCGACCTATATATGTAGGATGTATAGCGACCTATATATGTAGGATATATAGTGACCTATATATGTAGGATATATAGTGACCTATATATGTAGGATATATAATGACCTATATATGTAGGATATATAGTGACCTATATATGTAGGATATATAGTGACCTATGTATGTAGGATATATAGTGACCTATATATGTAGGATATATAGCGACCTATATATGTAGGATATATATAGTGACCTATATATGTAGGATATATAGTGACCTCGTATACCTTGTGCATACCACATACATAATTTAATCCTTTATTTTTGGACAGGAAAGGTTAGGTTGGGTTACGATTACGTAATGGTGAAAATATTCTCAGGTTTTGGATGCTACTCGGCGGAGCGCGGCGGTGTAAAACTTAGATTCGGAGATTCTTATGTGTGTGTCTTTAGGATAAGAGGTAAAGGAGGTGTTGGAGTTGTGACCCAGTTGTTGTTGTTGTTATAGATTCAGCTACTCGGAACAAGTTCCAAGTAGCACGGGCTATGGTGAGCCCGTAACTTATGACGCAGGAAGTCAAGGTCCCATATAGGAGCATTCTGGTACGGTGTAGGATTGGGTGTGGGGGGCTGTCAGTGTGAGGTGGTGGAGGATTGGGTGGGGGGGGCTGACTGTGTATGGTGGTGGAGGATTGGGTGGGGGGGGGCTGACTGTGTATGGTGGTGGAGGATTGGGTGGGTGGCTGTCAGTGTGAGGTGGAGGCGAGAGGTTGTAATAACAGTGGTAGACAGGGATTGGGATTCTTGGGGGGGGGGATAGAGATGAAAGAGTAGCGAGTGCCTGTATGGGAGAAGGATTAAAGTAGATGTTATGATGGTTTAGTAGTATGGATAAGTTGGATGACAGACTAGTAGAAAGTTAAATTGTATTAATGTAACTTAAATTGCTTAATAACAACACTGGTAAACACTTTGTCAAAGGTGTTCTGCATCCGAAATGAAAAGATCAGTTTATCATGCATTTTGACGTGCTAAATTCAAATGTAATAATTAGCTATTGTTTTGTGAGCGAGAGTGGTAACAACCTCTTGCTTGATGCAGGCGATGAGCCACAATAACGTGGCTGAAGGATGTTGACCAGACCACACACTAGAAAATGAGGAGGATGACGACGTTTCGGTCCGTCCTGGACCGTTGAGAATGGTCCAGGACGGACCGAAACGTCGTCGTCCCTTCATTCTTTTGCTTGAGTCAACAAGTGGTGAATGTCGAAGTATTTCCTCCCAGGCTCCAATGACGGCCGGAGTGGCCAGTCTTTCATAACGTAGCGGAAAGTTCTCGCACGACTATTCCACTCACAAAGACAACAGAAGTACTTTGAGTACCCACCCTGAGGACCTGACACAGGAGCATCAACATTCAGTCGCCACAGAGCTGCCACTGATGTTGGTCATCGTTTATGAACCTCAAAAGTTACTTCATGTTGGTATAAGTTTCCTTTATATGGGCTGCACAACCCCCGTATGTAAAACTGGTGCATTTTTGAATTGATGGCAAAAACATGTTAACTTAGGCAGCAAAACAGCTTCAAGACTCGTCTTGGATGAAAACTAGAACTAATCAACAATTGTAAACATTTCCGCTCTGTGACCCAGAATTAGTCAAGATTGACCTCATTCGCTTCGTAAGCATTTTTGGCTCTAGACCGGTGTAATAATTGGTTTTGTTAGATGTATTGTTTATCTCATCCTTCACCTGCCCCCTTTCCCTTCCTTCGCCTATTCCTGCCCCCCCTCTCCCTCCATCACCTTCCCTCACCCTTCCCTGCCCCCCCCACCCCTGCCCCCCCACCCCTCCCCCTCCCCCTTACCACAAAAAACACGACGTCTTTTCCTTTCACAGAAATAACTATATACACAAATAAATGAGATGCACTGAGCCAAGCTTTAGAATGTCTTCACTCAAATATGTGCACGAACGCTCGCCTGTTTGTGCGAGCCTCAGCTCCTGGGCCTCGCCTCGTAGTCTCTAATCTCACTAGTCATTGACGCTTATTTGCCATGCCTCGTCTGGGTGTCTCATGACCACTTTGTCATGCAACTTTGTTCTACTCTGTAAAAATCGTTCATTCCCTAAAGTCCTATAAATATCTTATATGTAGCGATCATGTCACCTCTGTACATGCGTAGGTGAATTTTTATTTTTACATATTCTCGTACTACAAGACGTCCTCAGGCATGTATAAATGTTTGTGAATTTTATATCTCATGCCCACACGACCCAGCAGGGCCACACGACTATAATAGGAATGCACATTACTATTTATATTTCTCCAATGTACATTAATATACGGGTGAAGTGAGCGCGTAATACCCCGTTACATATAATCATGTCATTAACTCCATAACCCCACAAAAAAGTGTGTCAGACCAGCAAAGACGATTTGATTAAGGTCCGTTTGGCAATTCCAAACTTGTAGTAACAACACAAACTTGTTGGTTTATAAGTTATTCTCCATATTAGTTGTTAGTGTCTTAATTGTTTATTATAAATGATACATTATAAAGTGTAGTGGTTGTAATTTGTAACACACACTTTTCTTATATTTCGCAGGCGCGGGAGAATCCGGCAAGAGCACCATCGTAAAACAGATGAAGTGAGTACACATCCGGCAGCGTCTGAGTCTTCCACTTGGGGGACTGAGCGAGTCCTCTCCTCGATCCCATACTTGCTTTGATTGTAGGGTTTAAGGTTAATGTGTGTGTGTGTGTGTGTGTGTGTGTGTGTGTGTGTGTGTGTGTGTGTGTGTGTGTGTGTGTGTGTGTGTGTGTGTGTACTCACCTGGGAAGGGAGCCGGTGCCTGAGCGGACAGAACACTGGACGCGTGATCCTGTGGTCTCAGGTTCGATCCCGGGCGCCGGCGAGAAACAATGGGCAGAGTTTCTTTCACCTTGATGCCCCTGTTACCTAGCAGTAACAGGGTGGGAGGCCTGGTCGAGGACCGGGCCGCGGGGACACTAAGCCCCGAAATCATCTCAAGATAACCTCAAGATAACCTAGTTGTGCTTGCGGGGGTTGAGCTTTGGCTCTTTGGTCCCGCGTGTGTGTTACTCGCAGTTAGCCTCTAATTTATATAATCCCAACTAGGCTATTTTTGTGTGCATATGTATAATATATATATATATATATATATATATATATATATATATATATATATATATATATATATATATATATATATATATATATATATATATAATAACAGCAAATGCATTTAGCCATAATACATGAATTATCATCAGTGTTTACCAGTTGTTGAAGGTAAGTCACATGTTTTGACTTTTAGTAAATGTGTGTGTGTATATAATACACACACACACACACACACACACACACACACACACACACACACACACACACACACACACACACACACACACACACACACACACACGGGTGGAACACGAACAAGGGGACACAGGTGGAAACTTAGTACCCAGATGAGCCACAGAGACGTTAGAAAGAATTTTTTGTCTCGGTGTAATTAATAAATGGAATGCATTAGGCAGTTATGTGGTGGAGGCTGACTCCATACACAGTTTCAAATGTAGATATGATAGAACCCAGTAGGAATCTGTACACCAATTGATGGACGGTTGAGAGGCGGGACCAAAGAGACAAAGCTTAACCCCCGCAAGCACAACTGAGTGCAACTAGGTGAGTACAGCCCGGGGCTCTTGCACAGAGAGGTGGGGGGGGGGGGCATTATGACAAGAGTTAATTTTGGTTCCTCAAGGTAGAGCTGGAAAATTCAATATTTTTGCAATGGGAGGGAGAAGGGAAGCTGGAGGTGAATCATGGGAGGAAGAGCATTGATCGGGTGTGTGTGTGTAGGCGCACGCCGCCACCTGTGTCTCCTACCCCAACCTGCCTCCATTTGTGCTGGTAATCTGGCCAGCTGGGGCGCTGCGGGGCCACACCGGCCCTCGTCAGCTCGACTCTCTGCTAAATGTCCACTGGCCTCGTGTGTGTGTTTTCTTAGCTGTAACAGATTTCAAGACGGGAGGAGTGTGTGTCTTCGGGCCGTCTCCTGTGGTCAGCTGGTTCAACTACATATTACTTGTTCCTCATCCGTGTTGTATCTGTTGAATTTGTTCTGCCTCAACTAGCTCATCTTTAAGGCCATTTCAGTCTTCAATTTCACGCGCACTGAAATTAAAAATTTCAAGATCTATGAAACACTTTTAGCGTGTCTGTTTCTCTAGTTTCTTTTTGCGATATGTCGCTTTGTTCCTCTGCACTTGGAGTAGTTTTGTTTTGGTCATGTTATCAATACTATTTTAGTATCTTGTATGTTTAAATCATGTCTCCTCTGGTTCTCCTCCCTTCTAGGGCTTGAGAAGTCAGTTCTCTTAGCATGTCCTGGGGTTGTCCAGGACGCCGGAGACATGAACAGTGTGTGTTGCTTGTAAGAGTCCTTGTACCTGGACAGGCTGGTGGCGTGTATGGTTTAATGTGCATTACTGATATGATGATGCACGCTGCTGGTGCGGGGTTTGGCGGCATATGCCCTCACACATACATTTTGTATTTCAGTTCTCTGCGTTATTTTCATTGGATTCTGTTTCTTTGGAGGTATTCACATCTCTAAACCCCACCCCTAAACCCCACCCCTAAACCCCACCCCTAAACCCCACCCCTAAACCCCACCTCTAAACCCCACCTCTAAACCCCACCACTAAACCCCAGCACTAAACCCCAGCACTAAACCCCAGCACTAAACCCCAGCACTAAACCCCAGCACTAAACCCCAGCACTAAACCCCAGCACTAAACCCCAGCACTAAACCCCAGCACTAAACCCCAGCACTAAACCCCAGCACTAAACCCCACCACTAAACCCCACACCACACCACACCACCCACACCCCACACACCACCACCCCACACCAAGTATCAGTACTGGACACATTATGACCAAAACAACCCACACCCCACCCCACACCCCACCCCACACCCCACCCCCCACCCCACACCCCACACCCCACACCACCCCACACCCCACCCCACACCCCACCCCACCCCACACCAAGTATCAGTACTGGACACATTATGACCAAAACAAACCCACCCCCACACCCCACCACCCACACCACCCCACACCCCACACCCCACCCCACCCCACCCCACACCAAGTATCAGTACTGGACACATTATGACCAAAACAACCCACACCCCACACCCCACCCCACCCCACCCCACCCCACACCCCACACCACCCCACCCCACCCCACACCCCACCCCACCCCCCCACCCCACCCCACCCCACCCCACACCAAGTAGCAGTACTGGACACATTATGACCAAAACAACCCACACCCTAGACTAAACTGGAGCTGTGAGAGACCTCTGAACAAATTTTCCCTGAAATGGAATACACAACTGAAATTCCTTTGTCTGCAAACATAACAAGGCTTTAAGACGAGGACAACCAGCCCAGGTATAAATAGCCTTCTGACAAAGTCGAGGGCGGTGTTGGGAGCTCCCACTGGCACTGTTACGGATTGCCTGGCCAGTCACGGCTGGATATGCCCGAATATGACTGTCTGGACAGTCATATTCGGGCATATAGAAGTAATGATGTAATGATAGGACAGACTAAAGAGTAGCTTTATATGTAATAGATGAACTTACATGTACAGAGACTAACAGATGTGCCCAGCTTAATGTGCCGGGTTTAAGGGGAAAAGGAGGATAATAGTCCAATTGACGAGGAAGTACTGGAGGCCAGGCCAGGGAGGAGAGCTTCTGAGACGTTGTGACAAGTGTGTCATAAACCAACAGATAACGTAACCAACTAGTCGGTTATAAATGGACAACCATTTATGGAGCAATATTTGTAGTTTGATATTTGCTTCATAAACCAGAAATAGTCATATATTACGAGCTCGGTTACTATTTATACAAACTAAGACGCGTCCACACATACATCGTTTCAGGTATGGACTCGTCCACACATACATATATATATATATATATATATATATATATATATATATATATATATATATATATATATATATATATATATATATATATATTATTAAATATGACCGAAAAAGTAAGATTAATAATTCTAACACGAATTTTCTCAATCTTTCGTACATTTCTTTTCACTGTTGGAGGTAAATCAAAAATCAATTCTCCAAAATTCATTTTTATTTCTAGTCTGACGCGACACGAGCGCGTTTCGTAAAACTTATTATATTTTCAAAGACTTTAGTTTACAAATACACAACTGAATAGAACTTACGCATCTCCGATTTTATATCTACATTTGAGAGAGGTGGATGGGGTGAGGTGGCATTAACGCTTAACAGAACAGAACAATTAACAAAACAGAACGCTTTAAAAGAGACTAACGTCGTCTATGCCTTCAAAAGCCCTCTTGGGGACTGTAAGCTCCAAAAAACCCAGTATATAGGCAAGACAACAACATCTCTTTCTAGGCGTTTAACGATGCATAAGCAACAGGGCTCCATTAAGGAACATATAATCTCTTCCCACAACCAAACCATCGCCAGAGAAATCCTAGTAAACAACACAGAAATCATCGATAGATACAGCGATAGCAGGCGGCTTGACGTTTGCGAGGCACTACACATCAAGAAGTCAACACCAGCAATCGACAGCCAATTAATGCACAACTATATTCTATCCACCTCAAGACTCCGCTCCAATATAGAAGCATCAAGAAATATGGACCAATAGGCTTTCTACAATCACTTCTATTCAATACCCATTGTTTCGTGTTCTGTCTTGTGTTGATGAAATTAATACCCTATTAATGCCACCTCTTGTTCTGTCTTGTGTTGATGAAATTAATACCCTATTAATGCCACCTCACCCCATCCACCTCTCTCAAATGTAGATATAAAATCGGAGATGCGTAAGTTCTATTCAGTTGTGTATTTGTAAACTAAAGTCTTTGAAAATGTAATAAGTTTTACGAAACGCGCTCGTGTCGCGTCAGACTAGAAATAAAAATGAATTTTGGAGAATTGATTTTTGATTTACCTCCAACAGTGAAAAGAAATGTACGAAAGATTGAGAAAATTCGTGTTAAAATTATTAATCTTACTTTTTCGGTCATATTTAATAATATATGTCTACAGGAAAGACTGCTACCAAAATATACTAATATATATATATGTATATATATACACCTATATATATATGTATATATATACACCACACATTGCATGAACTCTCAAGGAATTTTAACAAACAGAACACTTTCCATATGAGAGAATCGAAACCTGGGTCATCCAGGTGGCTGGCCAGAGCACTAACCAATAAGCCACGCCTCAGATCGTTAGAAGGTCTGAAATTCGGGCAGCTTTTCCACAAAATTTCCGTCCCCAACGACACCAGAGGGATAGCTTCTGATCACACACACGTTTTCTATCAATCATATTTACTAGGGAAAACTCGTGACATAATATACCACACACTTGCATGAATTTGAATTTGTTTTTCTTCACTATCGAGGGAAGTTGAAAAATTAACTCTCCAAAGTTCATTTTCACACTTTTATTTTTGGTCTGACGCCTAGGGATGTTTTTTTCACAAGGTTTACATTTTCAAAGACTAATTTA